TTTTTTCTTTCACATCATTTGGGGTAAATTTAGATAAAGATCTAGCTTCTTCGCATAAAGGAGTATACACGTTTAGAGTACAAGGACAGATATATCATGACCTCCCAAGTCTATTACCTGAGGAGAAGCCCATATTCTTTCAGCTATATTTTTATGATACCATGAACGAAATCCAAAATCGAATGGATAGACTAGGAGATATTGGGCTGAGTGAAAAGATTACTGAAAAAATTGTGAAAATTTTAAGAGAAAATCCATATGCCCAGTTTTTCCGAAGCCTACGAGATCTCCCATCAATTGAAGATGCTCATATTCATATTGCTACGAATGTACAAGTCGATCAACGTGTCTATAACTTACCTGGAATGGATCAAGTTGCTGCTATTTGGATTGAAGGAAATAATAACAATATTCCATTTAAGAGAGATATTGTAGTACATGCACATTMAGGAAAAAGACATAGAATACAACATTATTTCAGCTGTTATGATTCACTTCAATATCCTTTACTTTTTCCACATGGAGAGGCTGGTTGGAATCAAAACATTAAAAGAAATGCTAGGCCAAATCGTGACAATGGTGTCTACAAAAATTCAATAAAAGGAACATCCAACACTCCTCAAATTAATAGCATTGAAAATATCAAACCCTAAATCAAGGTATGTTCACTTTGAAATTTAAATTTAATGACATATGTTAATTAAAATTTATGAACATTCAATTATTCATACTATAATATATATATATACTTTTTAATCTTTGTAGGAATTTCAAAGGGTCGGTCCCCTAAGGTTTCCTGTAGGGAATATTATTGTTACAAGCTAGAAATACGTCGAACTACTCCATCAATGTTGCTTCGAGCTGGCCGACTTTTCCAACAATATGTTGTTGATATGTACATAAAGCTTGAAACAACAAGACTTGATTTCYATAAGACACAACAATCACACATTCGATCTAAGTTATATCAAGGGATTGTTGATACTGTAAATGCAGGGGAAACAAGGGGAGATAAAGTTGGAAAACGTTCTTCCTTCGACATTTATTGGAGGTCCAAGAGATATGCGACGTCGATATTTAGWTGCTATGACTTTAGTACAACATTTTGGAAAGCCAGATCTTTTCATAACTATGACCTGCAATGCTGATTGGAAGGAAATAAAAGAASAACTAATGGAAGGACAACATTCTCAAGATAGACCAGATCTGACTACAAGGGTTTTCAGAGGAAAATTAATGGACTTAAAAGACCAAATTCTACACAAAGAAATTTTTGGAAAAGTGGCAGCTTTTGTATATGTAATTGAATTTCAAAAGCGAGGTCTTCCACACATGCATATGTTGGTAATATTGAAAAATGGTTACAAGATCACCAATGCTGACCAATATGACAACTATGTCCAGGCAGAAATTCCAGATAGCCAAGCAAATCYTGCTCTCCACAATRTTGTTGTGAAGCACATGCTCCATGGACCTTGCGGGGAARATAATAAAAAATGTCCTTGCATGATCAATGRAAAATGTAAATTTCATTACCCAAGAYAGTTTTCTGRAAAGACACTTCAAGGAAAGGATGCATACCCAATATATAGGAGGAGAGACAATGRAAACCAGGTATTTATAATTATAGCATTTATTTATAATTTTAAGTTTAAKTRTTGATAATATATTGCTTAGGGTAGTAATTAAGTTAGTAAAATTAATATTCAAATAATATATTTCGATTAATATTAAATTTCAAAAATTTGAAGGTAACGCTAAGGAAGAAGACTTTTGATAATCRATGGGTGGTCCCTTATAATCCGTACCTACTTTTGAGATACAACTGTCACATTAATGTAGAAATATGTTCAGGGTTGAAAGCTGTTAAATATTTGTACAAATATATTTACAAAGGACATGATAGGGTGGCAGTTTATATATCGCATGATAGTGATCATAAAAGTATTGATGAAATAAGAGATTACCAAGATGCAAGATGAGTATCTGCGCAAGAGGCCTTATGGAGAATTTATGATTTTAGATTGAATGAAATATCTCCTCCAGTGATAAACTTACAACTTCACCTTCCAAATATGCAGTGTGTTTCTTATTGGGAAAATCAGAATTTGAAGAAACTAATTCATTGGGATCATGTCTCCAAGACTATGTTAACATAGTTCTTTAACATGTGTCACAAATATGAGACTGCCCGTAATTTTTTATATAAAGAATTTCCTGAACATTATGTATGGGATAAGCAACTACGAATGTGGAAGGAAAGGAAAAAAAGGAGTGGTTATATCGCGCATTGTAGGAGCAAACCCAAGAGAAGGAGAAAGATATTACTTGCGTTTACTACTAAACCATGTTAGGGGGCCGACATCATTTGAGTACTTATTGATTGTAAATGGAAAAAGAATGTCGACSTTTAAAGGGGCTGCACAAGAAAAAGGACTTTTAGAGTCCGACCAAAGTGTGCTAGACTGTTTGAATGAAGCAGTATCATTTGAGATGCCGTATTCTTTTCGAAGGCTTTTTGCAACATTATTAGTATATTGTGAACCTTTGGATGTGAGGAAATTATGGGAGGATTATTTTCAAGTATTTTTTAGAAGATTATAAAAAAGAAGACCCAGAAAATTTGGATTATCAAATGCAGCGTACTTTACGAGATATAAAATTATTCTTGGAGTCCATGGGCAAAGAAATTACCATGTATGATTTACCAGAAATCAAAGATAAGTCATATGATGGTAATAGAAAGTATATGAAAGATGTATTGGATGAGCAATCAGTCGAGGTCCCAGATGAAGATATTGAAGCATCATCAAAGTTAAATGAAGAACAAAAAATTGCATTTGATATAATAATGGATAGAATCAATAATAATAAAAGTGGCGTATTTTTCGTCGATGGACCAGGAGGAACGGGGAAAACTTTTTTAYATCGTTCATTGCTAGCAAATGTAAGATCAAGAAACATGATAGCAATTGCAACAGCAACATCAGGTGTTGCTGCTTYGATAATGCCAGGAGGACGAACCGCTCATTCTAGATTTAATATACCACTACAGGCAAATGAATCATCTATGTGCAATATTTCTAAGCAGAGTAATAGGGCAGAGTTGGTTAGACAAGCAAAACTCATTATTTGGGATGAAGCACCTRKGGCAAAAAAGGTAACAATAGAAGCTGTTGATAGAACATTTCAAGATATAATGGAAAATTCAAAACCATTTGGTGGAAAGGTTATTGTCTTTGGAGGGGATTTCCGACAAGTACTTCCCGTTGTCCCACGGGCGACACGACAACAAACCGTTCATGAAAGCTTGGTAAAGTCATACCTTTGGAAGCAAATGGAAAAATTACAGTTGAAAAAAAATATGCGAGCTCAGAATGACTACCAATTTGCAGAGTATTTATTAAAGATTGGGAATGGAACTGAACCATCAATAGTTGAAGACTATGTTCGCCTACCAAAAGATATTGCCATTATAGATGAAGGTCATGAAGATTCAGTATTAAAATTACTAAATATTGTTTATCCTGATCTCCCACAAAATGCAATGTCAGCTGAATATATAACAAATAGAGCGATTCTTTCGACCACAAATGAGTATGTTGATGAGATCAACAATAAAATGATTCGCCTATTTCTTGGAAACATAGAAGAGTTCATGAGTTTTGACGAGACAATTGATGACACACATAGTTACTATCAAGAAGAATTTCTCAATTCATTATTGCCCAATGGTATTCCTCCTCACAAATTGATACTAAAAATAAATTGTCCGATCATACTTTTAAGAAACTTAGATCCATCTAATGGTCTATGTAATGGAACTAGAATGGTTTGTCGGAAATTTCAGAAGAACGTCATTTATGCAGAAATCACATCTGGCCAACATGCAGGAAAACAAGTCTTCCTCCCACGTATACCAATGAGTCCGGCAAATGATGAATGATATCCATTCAAATTCAAAAGAAAACAATTTCCAATTCGACTATGAACTATGTCTATAAACTATAACTTATATATGAACTATAAAGTATATACGACTATATCCCTTTAAAATTAACAAACATAGTAAATATACATAATTAAATATATAGACGTTACCATTGAATGCTTTTTAAATACCCAAAATCAAATATCGAAAATTAGAAATAAAAAACAAACATAAAATATTTAAAACATAAATAGCATAAAACGGGCTACCAAAAATAATGGTGAAAAGCGAGCGAATCGGAAATAGGCTGTCGGAGATGGTAACGACAGAAAACGAAGAACACTAAGAAGACAAGGAGACGACGTACCTGAAACACGAGAGGAAAAAAAAGACAAATGAAGAAGAGGATTAGATAACTAAATATTTGGAAGTTTTTTAGGAGAATGAAAAGGTGCCTATTAGAGATTTAAAATGTAAATCCGCAAATCAACCATTTTTTCATTTTGAATTTCCATGTCTTAACAACAATTATATATATATTGGTAAAATGTAGGAAGAAACGGAAGAAAGGATATAATGATAAAATACATATGGGTTCTATTTTTAAGAGAGGTATTTTAAGACAAAAATATAAATTTTGTAATATGAATCCATCGTGTATAAAGAAAGTACTAATCTGTCTAAAAAAGGAAAAAAAAAAAAAAGAAAGTACTAATTCCTATCTGAAATAATCAATAGTTCTCAGTTTTATCTATAATCTGTGTCCCTGATGAAAAACGAAAACCCAAGAATGAATGCTATAGCCCACGAAAGGAGTGAGAAGTCCATTTTGATTTTGCAATTTCAATTGAATCTAATATCAATGGGAATGGGCCCAAATATCAAAGGGGCCGGAGCGCGAAGCGAAGCCGGACAGAGAACCGACGGAAACCCTCGTAATACGGCAATTCCCACCCACAGCGCCAGAAGAGTTGCAGGAAACCAAAATCAGACGACGGAGGTTTGAGGTAGCAGAAGAAGAAGAAGTTTATCCCTTCATAGCGTGAGACGGTTCCTTTCTGGAGATGGCTGAGAACAACGGGCGTGATTTGAATGCCAAGTGGGACGCTTGCCTTGATTTGACGCTGCGTCGATTCGTCTACTCTTCCTTGGCTGGTGCATTTGGCGGCCTCCTTTTCTTCAGTAATTCCTCCTCAACATTTTCTCTTTTCTTTTTACTTCTATCTTCTTTTATCTTTTAAAGCTTTCCTGGGTGGTGACCACCCATATGTTAGAAATTTGCCGACTATCGATTCGGAATGCCTGTTTATCTGCAAATGAAACACTTATGTTACGAAATCTGCCAATTTTTATTCTCTGATGAGACGGTAAACTTACCTAATTGAGGTCGTCACAGATGTCTGCGGTTGAGCTTTTTCTCTGCGCTATTTGTGTAACAATTTCTAAGTATCGGGTATAGATCGCGCGGATGCTAGCACAAATATTGGAGTGTACTTTCGGTTTATATTAGATAGGGTGTATTGCATTTTGAATATCAGGATATCCTACATTTGTGTAAAGCAAACTCGTGAATTTGGATCCACTTCACGCCTCTTTGGTTGGTGATATTGAGGCACCTGAATTTATTATAATACCATTGTTTTATCATTTTTCTAGAACTCCAGTTGAATGATGTTAATTAATTTATTAATGAGCACTATATCTTGATTAACTACTAGGGAGTCCTGTGACTCGTTGGGCATCTATAGCTTTTGGTGCTGGATTGGGTATTGGATCAGCATACACAGATTGTAATTCTTTATTTGAAGGTTCCACAGCAAAATTAGCATCTCCAAAACTCACAGAGTCTCACCCCTCACAGGTTTCTTTTAATAAATTCTATCAAATTTTGATTTCTCTGTATTCTGTGAATTTTAGGTCATCAGGTTAAGATATTCATCACCTTTAATTGATCTGTTTAATATGATATTCATTCAATAAACTTTAGATTTTGATCTAATGTTCCTTGAGAAATTGGCTCCTATGTGTGTGTGTGTGTTTTTTTTTTAATTTTTTAGTATTTTTATTTAAACGATGTTAAGGACAATGGATTAACTTATTGTGTTTTATAGGTTAGAAGTATTAGGCTTGTAGTACTATTAGTCTATTATAAATGTTTAGAATCAAGACATTAGATCATACTTCTTGGGGGTTGTGTGATGTGGAAATTAGCATTTTGTTAGATGATTTTAGTTTTTTTTTTATTGTTAATTTTTTAAATGATGCTTTAAGGTTATCCCACTCTTTCATTTTGTATCATCGAAACTTGAGTATCACGGCTTTGTAATGTCAAACCAGAAGCTTCAGTGTGAGGAAAAGCACTGCAGCTTTTATTTTAAATCATATTTTCTAGATCTGGATGAAACAAGGAGGCGTTGTTTGAAATAAGCTTTGAAGCCCATTCAAAGAAAAAAAGGCCAAAGCCATAGGCAGGAAAAAAGGCAAATGAGTTATATTTTAGGAAGAATACATGTCTGCTATTTTAAGGGTTCAAAAAGCTTCTGAACAAAATTACAAGAAGATAAAAAATGGGCCTCTTTGGAAGTGGATTTAGGGTTAGCATTTTAGTAACCCAGAAAAGGAGGCAAGAAATACACTTTTTGAAGATTGTGGAAGTAAGAGGACATCGAGAGAGTAGTCATCCCAGTCAGGATTTTCCTTATCCCATAGTTCCTTCACACCTAAATATTTTCATCTCAAAAGAAAAGACCAAGACACTTCTCTCTTAAGCTGGAATGAAAAATAGTTTTGGGGAAAAATGGTAGACCACCTTATGGTAAATGGGTTTTCATCATCCCTATTCCAAGAAGGAACAAATTTAGAGATTCAAATGCTGTCAAGGAAGCGAAAAAATTTAGGGTCTGCTTGGAAGTTATATTTGAAAACAGGTTTTTTTGTTTTAAAAAATAAAAAGTTTTGTGACGTATAAAATTTGTTTGGCAGGATAAATTTAATTAAGTTCTCAGGAAAAGAGAAAACCACATAAAACAATTTCTGTGTTTTCTTTCATGTGTTTATGCATAGTCATTAATTATTTTTTTAAATATAATCATAAAATCATAAAACCTCTTACAAATGGACACCCAAACAACCTTCTCTTTGGTCCAGTGTTTTCAGAATCGTTCATGGCTTACGCTAAAATGAGGCGGGTCCACCCCTCCCATCCAAGCCGCTGTATCAACTAGGCTACCTACTATTTGACACTTTACAATATGTCCTCTAAGGTGGTTACAAAGGGTGGAGAAATACATGAGGAACTTCTTATGGTGAGGCCCTCACATGGAAGGAGGCTCTCATCTTGTACAATGGTAGAAAACTCAATTACCTATCCAAAAGGGGGGCCTCACATCAAGCATTGAAGTCAAACTCTTCTTGTAAAATGGGCATCCACCACCAAATCAGCGTTTTTAAAAGCTCGAGGCACACTAAAGCGCAATAGGCCTCTGGAGCCTAAGTGCGAGGTGCAAAAAAAAAATGCGCGGGCTTCTTTTTCGCGAGGTGCACTATATAAAAATAAATAAAAATATATACACACATATATAACATATAAAATCCAAATAAGATTCAAAGTCTTTTACCATAAAGAGTAAATGCTCCACAAAAACATGAAAACAATCCTAAGAACAGAGAGATGCTTGTTTGGAGTTGGAGAAGAAAGAGAGGGAGAGCTGCAGAAATCGTGGAGGTTGTTGGTGAAGATTGTTGGTGTTGGAGAAGAAATTGAGAGGGAGAGCTTGTTTGGAGAAGATTGTTGGAGTTGGAGAAATCGAAAAGAAGGGAGAGCTACAAATTGTGTGGAGGTTTTGTCGAAGAAAATATTTCCTTGCATGTGAAGGAAGAGGAGGAATCACAAAATATGAAAATTCACGTAAATGGAAGGGAAATCTAAAGGTTTGTGGAAATCTTGAGATATTTTCCAAAAATAAAGGAAAATCTAGAAAAGTTGGGCTTTGGCCGATTTTCAAGCGGCAGTATTTGGGATTTAAAAAAAAGACTTTAAACTCAAGAGTTTCCGCGTTTAGGGTCATTAGGTTTTTATTATTTTCTATTCGTCTATTTTTTATTTTTAACAGAAGAGCCAACAAAGCGCAAGGGCTCTGCTCTTCGAGGGAGGTGCGTGCTTAAAGCGCACCTCCTTCATGTCGCCTCGCCTTGCAGCCATCCAACCCATGGAAACACATGAGTTGGATAGACTCATGGCTTGGAAACCGGCTTTTTCGCTTATGTTTTCCTAGTCTTTACAGATTAACCAATTGACCAGCCTCCAAGATTGTGTAACTTTGTAAGCCTTCTGTAAATTCATGGGATCTTGGTTTTAAGGGGAATCTCAAAGATAATGAGATTATCAAATGGGCCTATCTCCCACCTTTCTCTGGTACATTTCAACAACCAAAAGGACAAGTAGATTTGGAATTTGGATCCTTCCAATTGGTTCACTGTTTATTCCTTTTATAGAGCATGTTTATTCCTTTTACAGAGCATCCTTTTAAGCGGATACCATCCATCTTCACAACTTTATTTGGTGGGTACCATCCTAAGAAGATCAAACTCTTCTTATTGGGACTATCTCATAGAGACATTAGCACTCAAGATATGGTCAACCACACAAGACTCTCCCCAAGCTGGTGAGATCCATGTGCTGACAAAATTTGGGGTGACGAACATACTTATTTGTCCTATGCCCTTTTGCTCAAAATTTTTGGAACTACATGCTTAGGAACTTTAAAATGGTCCATGGTGCTCCCAGCTTCTATGATCGATTTCCTTGCATATATATATATACATATATATTAAACCAAGCTTTCATTATATTAAACCAAGATTTCATTGAGAATAAATGAAAGAATATACGAGGGCATACAAAAACTAAGCCCAACAAAAAGGGATCCATCATTAAAATCTGTGTTTCTCCTAAAAAGAAACACTATACTTTGGGAAAAGAGGCAACATATTGCTTGGAGAAATTTGGTGAAGGAGTTGATATGGATTTCAAAAATTTTTTCTTTATAAAACTTTTGAAATATATATTTAAGTCATTTTTTTGATACGGAACAATACTTTTATTGAGAAAAATGAAAAGGATACAAAATATACACCAAAAGGCCTAAAAATGGCATAAAAAAACAGCCCGACAAGAGGAAGCCCCCTAAAGAAAAGGGCTCCAATCCAAAAGAATAAGGCCAAGCGAGTAATTACAAAAGAGATGAGAAACCGAGCTCCATAACGAAGTGTTAAATCTAACAATGTCCCAAACATAATCCACAAACTTTTCCACCCCCCTAAACAGTCTATGATTCCTCTCCAGCCAAATATCTCATAACATAGCTAGAAAGCAAGCCTGCCACAAAAAACAACCCTTATCCTGAGGGGGGGGGGGGGATAAAAGCACCTTCTCCATCATAGCCCTACAATTCCTGGCACGGACCCATGAAATCCCAAAGTACAAAAAGAAACGATGCCAAAGATCCTGAGCAAACTGACAAGTCCATAGCAAATGATCAAGGTTCTCTGAGGCACTCTTACAAAGAACACACCACTGTGGACCCAAGCAAAAACTTGACATCCTCTGGATACGATCTAAGGTATTAACTTTCCTAAGAAGGACTTGCCACCCGAAGAACTTGATATTCTTCGGAACTTTAATCTTCCACAAATAGGTGAACCAAGGGGTCGAAGGGGGAGAAGAAGAAGATAGAGAGCTCAAAATTTGATAATAAGAACTACAAGAAAAACCCTTGGACGGGCTGGGGGTCCAAATCCTCACCTCCTCTCTACCAGGGAACACAGAAAATTGAGACACGAAAGAAAGCAAAGCGGATACCTCTAAGGTATCCCGATTCGTTAGGGCACGAGAAAGGCCCAAAGAAATAGAAGGACCCTCACCCTGGGAATTCAAAACCTCGGCCACCAAATGGTGTTTCATTTCGGAAAGATGGTATAACTAAGGGAACTTAATGCAGAAAATCCCTCATGATTTTTTCCAAGGCCTCACTAACTGCCATCAGGATCTTGAAGAGAGAAAGATAATTATTTGGGATTCCCCTCAATACTGATTGAATTAAGGTGAGTCTTCCTCGTTTAGAAAAGAAAGCCTTTTTCCAAGAGGAAAGGCGCTTCTGAAACTTCTCGCGCACCGGCGTCCAAAACGACCCACTTTTTGGGTTATGACCTAAAGGAAGACCTAGATAGGAGGAAGGGAACTGACCCACATCACACCCAACCAAATTTGCCCACTCTCTAAGCTTATCAGCATCACAGTTGACCCCTAACAACATACTTTTTCCTCTATTAATTTTCAGGCCCGAAGCAGCTTCGAAGAAACCTAGGAGGCCGTTAAAGTTCTTAAAAGCACTATCATTGCCGGAACAAAAGAAAATAGTGTCATTTGCGACCTGGAGATGCGAAAGACGGACCTTCTCCTTTCCCACTTCAAAGGCTTCCAATGCCCCTTTATCCACTCCCACAGAAATTAATCTACTAAGAAAGTCCACTACCAATATAAAAAGGAAAGGAGATAAAAGGTCACCTTACCGGAGGCCTCTAGAGGAGATGATTTTTCCCCTAGGTCTTCCGTTCACCAAAATGGAATAATTAACCAACCTAATACAATTCCACATCCAGGCTCTCCATTTAAACCCAAAGCCTTTCTTCCCCAGAATCTTGTCTAAGAAATCCTAGTTCACATGATCATAAGCCTTTTCAAAATCAATCTTAAACACCACCCCCCTTCCCTTTTGCTCTTCCTATAATCCTCTATAGCCTCGTTCGCTATCAGCACTTGATCCAAAATTTGCCTACCAGCCACGAAAGCCCCTTGCATCT